TTAGTCTTGCATATAGCCGCAGCCTAATATAATTGTAAAAAATGCAACAATACCTGTGAATTATCTAACAAATATTTAAACTATGTTAGATCCTCTAGTTATGACTTATGACTATTCAAATTGTTGAACTATTAATAAAATTTAAATATTAATTTATACGATAACTAATATATAAAGTGTATGAAAACATATTTGGAAGCCCCTAATTTTTTCTAACAATGAGGCCTACAATCAGAAGCATTACCCAAAATACAACACAATACTCCTACATATATACGTTGGATCTTTCTAAATATGTTCCTTCTACCTCAAACATTCTATACCCCATTTATATTAACTCTAATAAGTCATATTCTCATATTCCAAATCATATTATCTTTTCTGGAAATATTTCTTGACCATGGATGGTTATTATGATTGCCGGAAAAACATAACCTGCAAACTTATCATCAAAGCCAAAACCACCACGTGTCGACAATCCCTACAATTCCATGCTTCAATCAAGTGGTTGAACTAGCAGCATGCACTTTTCTTGGAAATTAGAAATTTCCCACTTTGGGTCCATTTGGATTGAGGAATTTGGATGGGGGATTTGATTTGGGGAAGGGATTTGAAATTATTCCAATTTAGAGTCATTTTATTAGGGATTTCAAACACAATAATATTTAGGGGTAATGACAAATAGGCCCTTGACAAGGGCACTTAATTAAAAGAGGGACATCCAACTTTTTTGTCTTTCAAATAAATCCAACTCATTCAAACTTATTTGCAAATAAGGAAAATCCTTTTATATATACCAAAATTACCCCCAATTCATTGAAACCCAATTTAACTCCAATTTCATGATTTACACCCCAATTTAGCCCAATTTCATCAATTAACCAATTTTAACCCTAATTTCAATTTTGACCCCAATTTTGACCCTCCACCACCGGAGACCGCCGTTGACTTTTTTTTTTTTTTTTTTTATAATTTTGTTTTTTCTTAAAAAAAATATTTTAATTAATATTACTGTCTTGGCTGCTAAATTACTGTCTCCGGCAGTTATTTAACTGCCGGAGACAGTAATTTAACTGTTAATTGACTCTTTTGTTTTTTTTTTTTCTTCAAAAATATTTTAATTAATATTACTGTATTTGTTGCTAAATTACTGTCTCCAGCAGTTATTTAACTGTCGGAGACAGTAATTTAACTGTTAATTGACTTTTTTATTCTTAAAAAAAATATTTTTAATTAATATTACTGTATTCGTTGCTAAATTACTGTCTCCAGCAGTTATTTAACTGTCGGAGACAGTAATTTAACTGTTAATTCACTTTGTTTTTTTTTTTTTTTCGTTAAAAAAAATTATTTTAATTAATATTACTGCCTTGGATGTTAAATTATTGTCTCCAACAGTAATTTAACTGTCTTAGACAATAATATTAATAATATTATTGTTCGGAAAAATAATATTCATAATATTACTGTCCCAAACAGTAATATTACTGTCTGAGACAGTAATTTAGTAGCCAAGACAGTAATATTAATTAAAATATTTTTTTTCTAAGAAAAACAATTCAAAAAAAAATAAAAAATCAACGCCGGAGACCGGCGGTCAACGGTGGTTGACCGGCCGGAAAAAAATTTCAGGAAAAAAAGAAGTTCAAAAAAAAAAAAAAAAAGGTCAACGGCGGTCTCCGGCGGTCAACGCCGGAATCTGCCCGGAAAAAAAACATTTCAGAAAAAAAATTATTTTTTGAAAAAAAAAGTTTGTGGGGTTAATGTGATATATTTGTTTAAATCCGGGGTCAATGTGTAATATTAAGGAAGTTAGAGTATAATGGGTGGAATTGATAAGAATTATATTATTGAGGGTATTTTAGACTAAAGACATATGGATGGGCTTAATTGAGAGACTGTTATTTTTGTGGACCAAAATGCATTTAAGTCCCATGTGATAGGCTTTTTTGCCATTTGCCCCTAATATTTATTGTTTTTTGTTTTGGGTTGTGTTAACCGATCAACAGAATAATATTATTATGTTATACATCTATATATTAATTTTTCTTTTTTTGGTATTATTGTGTTAGACAATAATACAGTAATATTATTGTGTTAGATATATTATAGGAAGAATATAATAGAAGAAATAGAGAATTAATAATACGTAATAGAATAGAAACCCCCATTGTGTTAGGGATTGATTTACATGGAATATATATAGAGAAATAATGCAAGGTAATAGAGTTTGACTAGGTAACTAAATCCTAACTAATCTAGGTAACTCAATCATACTAGAATTCTAATATAACAAGAGTTCTATAATATAATATTCTCTAACACGCCCCCGCAGTCAGAAACGTGACGAGACTGGACAATCACTTGATAGCACGCTCCCGCAGTTGGAACGAATAAACTCAAAAAGTGAAGACCGGATAGAAACCGCGAAACTCAACGCTAGAGAATTTCTCTGTGTAAATATCTGCCCAATTGATAGAAAAATAATAATAATAATAATAACAGGAGAAAGAAAAATAAGCAAACTTTTTTTTTTTTTTTATCGAGATAGAGAGAAGAAGAGATTAACCGACTGAGATGAGGAAAATGTCGGAAAGGGAGAAAAAAAATATAAGTTAAAAGAGAAGAGTACCATCACCGGGAGAGAGATAATTGGTTTGGTGGTCACCGGCCATCGAGAAGAAGAAGAAGAGAGGCGGCGGCGGCTAGGTTTTAAGCCTGGAGAAGAAGAAGAATTCGGGTGATGTGCATGGAAAAGATAGAAAAAGAAAAAAAATATTAGAAGTACCACCACCGGGGAGAGAGAAAATTGGGTGGTCACCGCCATGGAGAAGAAAGGGCGGCTAGGTTTTAGGCCATGGAGAAGAAGAAGAAGAAGAAGAAGAAGAAGAAGAAGAAGAAGAAGAAGAAGAAGAAGAAGAAGAAGAAGAAGAAGAAGAAGAAGAAGAAGAAGAAGAAGAAGAAGAAGAAGAAGAAGAAGAAGAAGAAGAAGAAGAAGAAGAAGAAGAAGAAGAAGAAGAAGAAGAAGAAGAAGAAGAAGAAGAAGAAGAAGAAGAAGAAGAAGAAGAAGAAGAAGAAGAAGAAGAAGAAGAAGAAGAAGAAGAAGAAGAAGAAGAAGAAGAAGAAGAAGAAGAAGAAGAAGAAGAAGAAGAAGAAGAAGAAGAAGAAGAAGAAGAAGAAGAAGAAGAAGAAGAAGAAGAAGAAGAAGAAGAAGAAGAAGAAGAAGAAGAAGAAGAAGAAGAAGAAGAAGAAGAAGAAGAAGAAGAAGAAGAAGAAGAAAAAGATAGAGAAGATGCATCACCGGGGAGGGAGAAAATTCGGGTGGTGTTCATGAAAAAGATAGAAAAAAAGAATAGAAAAAAGAAAAATATTAGAGTACCACCACCGGGGGAGGGAGACGGAGAAGAAAGACGGCTAGGTTTTCACCGCCATGGAGAAGGAAGGCGGCTAGGTTAAAAAACCTAAACCTGGTGCTCTGATACCATATAGGAAGAATATAATAGAAGAAAGAGAGAATTAATAATACGTAATGGAATAGAAACCCTCATTGTGTTATGGATTGATTTACATGGAATATATATAAAGAAATAATGCAAGGTAATAGAGTTTGACTAGGTAACTAAATTCTAACTAATCTACGTAACTCAATCATACTAGAATTCTAATATTACAAGAGTTCTATAATATAATATTCTCTAACATATATAATTATTATTATCGTCTAAAGCAATAATATTACTCCCTCCCATTTTATTTGTCTTTCTAGAGAACTTTTTTCATTTCAAAATAATTGTCACTTTAGAATTCCAATGAAGTATTTATTGTTTTTCTCAGCTATGCCCTTATTACTATTAAGATAATTAATGGTTAAATATTTAATAAAAATATATTTTTTAATTATTTTATTATGATTTTTCTAAAATCCATGCATTTTTATTACTCCCTCCGTCCCAATTTAAATGTCTTTTTGGGTTGTTTTGCACATATTAAGAAAATCAATAAATGTGCATAGATTATAGTAAAAGAACATATACAATTACTAAAATATCCTTGACATTAATTGATTCTCAATTAATTAATTAAGAGTGATTAAGGGTAAAATTGAAAATAATTCAATTAATGCTTTATTGAAAATCTAAAATGACAAATAATTTGGGACAAAAAAACTCTCTAAAAAGACATATAATATGGGACAGAGGGAGTAGTTTTCTTGATATATGGGAATTAGTCCAAAACGACAATTAAATTAAAATGGAGAGAGTACTTTGTTTACCTGGGGAAAAAAAAATTGAAACAAAGAAAAAAGTCAATGGCAGTGGTGCAGACAAAAAATGTCTGAATTATTTTTTCCAAAAAAAGTAAATAAAAAAAAAAAAAATCAACGCTAGTCAACGAAGGCGAAAAGAACAGAAAAAATTCAAAAATAAAAAAGGAAAAGAAAAAGATTTTATCGGTCGAATTTTTTCTTCTGTTTTTTTTTTTCAAAATTTCGACTTCCAAATAATATCCAAATCGATTGTAAAGATCTAACATAATCGTGTATAGTCTAAATCCAATCCTAGTAGACAGGAGATTACTAACCTAATATATAAGTCAATATAGTAAATCTACCCTCATCATTGTATTGTTTGGGAAAATATGCCTTATAAATTATAATAACTAATATCCCTGTTAAACAGAGTTTTCAAAAGGAAAACAAATAGAAAAAAGAAATACACATTCATATAACCAGATATTGCTCAAAGTCTAATACCATATTTAACAAATATATCCATAAGTACGTCAATTCCCACGTTGGCAAAATCGGATCACGGCTACATACCTTTCTTTTTATAACTCTAGCACTCCTCATACACCAAGGTTTATTAATTAACCTAGCTAGTATATATATATATATAGATAGATATAGATATAACTCCAAAACCAGAATTCTTATTTTCCAATCAACATATCTTCTCGTCCAAAGAGTAAAAACAATTTCTTATTGCACGACCAATACCATGGGTGATTATCAAGATCGCCTCCAACCGACGCTCTATTGCGATCTTTCTCACGTGGAATTCACCACTCCAGAAGAAACTGACGACCACAATAATCGGTCGGAAATCAACTTGAACTTCTCTTGGAAAGTTGATTTTTCCGAGTGGATTATTCCACATGCAGTTCAACAATATTCTACAAACCCACAGGTTGTTAGACGATTCAATGAATCCACAACCAATTTCTCCTTCGGAGTGAGCCGCATGCAGTTTCGGTGTCTCAGTGAATTAAGGGGAGTCATGGAATTCGAGCTGAGGGGCGTGTTAGACAATTACGATTTTCGCAGAAACGTGGCTGAATATGTTATCGTAACAACACTGGCAAGCTTCGACATCGATATTCTCGCAGAGGGCAGAGTTTTGGATTTTTACTTCGACGTGTTGGTAGATAACCAACAAATTGTATTTGGGCCTGGGGAAATTTATGAAGAGGAATATAATTGTATGGTTCCAGCGGAGGATTCATCGATAATGTCGTCATTGAAGAGGGTGGCCGTTGATTCTAATCAGAACATTAGTTGCTCGATTTGTTTGGAAGATCTGTCGTCGGGCGGCGACAATAATTGCGAAGAAGCGTTAAGCATGCCGTGTTCGCATGTTTATCACGGGGACTGCATCAAGAAGTGGCTTACCATTAGTCATTATTGCCCACTCTGTCGATTTGAGATGCCAACCACGAATTAGATACATGGATGTAAATCTGATATTGTTTAACTTTGAGGTTTTAAGGTTTCATAACTATTATACTGTATTTCTTTTATGAATCAGGACTTCTGATTAATTACCTGCACAAGAAAATATATGCTTCATCCATGCACACAGACATCCAATCTAAGTTTAAGTATTGGTTCTGATGTTTTTTCATAAATATTTGATTAGTAGTACGTAGATATGGAACTGTGTATGCAAAGAATTTTCATTAACATTATTGCCTCGTCTGGTTATAACATGGATATGACTAATTTGAATTAGATTGAAATTGTGTTAATTATTTATTTAACTAAGTAATGAATTAGTTAGTACTAAAATTGTGACAATCTGGCCAATTTTTTTTTTTTTTTTGTTTCGTATTTATAAAGCCCCTTTTAATGGGTCAGCTACATCCTCCCCGCGCCTTGTAATAGCATTCAGGTGGTTTCTACTTCTCTCAGTTAGAAAATTTGTGATATATATATCATATAGGATCCCTTTTAGGTGGCTCGTCTCGAGATCTTGGCCATCGCAACGAGCAATCTTTGGAAATGTGTTCTAGGATTTTATCTTGAGGCATAATTAACTCAGCATATGAATTTTATCTTGGACCATCTCGCCATATGTTTTCGCTGGAATGAGGTATCGATTGATCGGGAGGTGTTGATACCACACACCTTTCCACTAGCCCTTCTCCTCTCGGGCGTTACTCCTTTTTCATTCTCTGGTAGTCCTCCAAATTGATGTATTTCTCAGCTCGCTGTAGTATCTCGTCAAAGTTGGACACACCTCGCTTTACTAGGGATCAATTTGAAGAATTCTCCCTCCCGAGTCCTTGGACAAATGCTCCCACCAAAATCTCCGATTGAGCTGTTGGGATATCCAACATTGTCTTGCAAAATCGTCTCATGTAACATCGTAAGGCTTCTCCTTCTTGTTGCCTCAAACTGAAAAGGGCAAGTTGTTTCCGCGAGCTGTAGAAGCTCGCAAGAATTGAGTACTTGTCTTCATCTTTGTCTGCGAACCGGACAGGGTTCTCCTTCTTGTAATGCTTAGGAGCCTCTGTTGAGCGACCTTTTCGCTCCTTCAATCGTCGAAGTTTGCGCTGCATGTGATCATTGACAGAACTCCGATGTGAACGGTCGGCCAAGCAATTAGCCAAGTACTAATCAAGTTAACTAATCGAAAGTTAACTAATCTAAAGTTATCGAATCGAAGTTAACTAATCGGAGTTCAAACGCCGGAAAGAAATATCAACCAATTAAATCAAGTTAGCTCAATCAAGTTAAGTAAACAGAAGTTAACTAACCATAAAATCAAGTCAGCATAATCGAAAGTCAACCAATTGCAAGTTAAACACTGTAATATTAACTATGTTACAGTTTTAACAGAGTCGTATTGCTATATTAATCTCTAGCATTGTAATATTAACACAACAAAAGTCAATATTATTTTGTAATAGATTAATTTTAATATGTTGACCATTCAACAAAGGTAAACATAATAAAAAAAAATTAATATTACTGTGGTTGATAGTAATTATGGTTGACAATAATATTACCATCAACCACAGTAATATTATTGTGTTTACAGTAATATTACAATAGAAGACAGTAATATTATTACATTAATTGATCTGTCAACGACAATACAATTATATAAATGTCCTATCAACGACAGTACAATTATTACGTTAATGTACTGTCAGTGACTGTATAATTACTGTTAATGACAGCACAATAACGGTCAACGTTTAGCGACGGGCGAAAGAAAAGGGGAAAAATTTTATGAGAAAAAAAAATCAGTAAAAAAAGTCAACACCGGAGACCGGCAGCGGAAAAAACAGACCAGAAGAGGGAAATATAAAAGAAAAGGTCAACGTTGGAATCGGGCGACGCAAAAAAAAAAGACCGTAATTTTGTTTTTCAAAAAATCAACACCGGAAACCGGCGGCGGAAAAATATTTTTTGAAACAAAAAAGTTTACAAACAAAGTCAAAATTAGATTTTTTTTTTTTTTTTGGTAAAAAATGATTAAATTGGGGTTACAATTAATAATTGAGTGTAAAGGTTGGAGTAATTTTGTAATATACATTAATTTTTCGTTTATTTATAATAACTATTAAATGGATGGACTTATTGGCGAAATAAATGTAGCCCTAAACCTAGAATAATAAAGATGATTGGTGAGGAACCAATGCACAAAAACCCTTAATTAATTAGCCAGTATGAAGTTAATCCAATCTTATCTTGCACCAGAAGGCGAAATCCCTCGCCCCCAGGGCCCCCATCCTTTGGCCCGACAAGGATTGATGGAGGAATGTAAATCATGGTAACTCAACGGCCCGTTAAGGTAGCGGACCCGGACCTGGTGCCCACAAGGAACCAACCCTCATTGGAGTTGAAATTCTCACACTGCGGCTGCCAGGATTCGATCCTAGGACCTTGCACCAACTTACCACCTCCGGAACCAGTTGAGCTACACCCATGCGGACAATCCAATCTTATCTAATCCAATGAAACCGAGTATTAATCGATTACCAAAACAATTGTTTAACATTTTAATCGACTATCAGAGCGTAGTCGATTAACGTAATCTACTATAAAAAAACATTGTCGACAAAGGATCCAGCATGCACGAATTTGTCTTCCTGCGCCGTTTCTGCCAAATCTACTAAAAAACCCTAGATATGTTTTCCATTGTCACCACACCACCGCTACATCACACCATCACGACCTCACTTCGATATTCTAACGGTTTTTTTATTACATAAACAGAGACAGAAGATAGACTCACGGAACCTCGAACAAACTCCATTGATAAAAGAAAGATGAACACACGCAAATATTACACCCAACTCTAGGAACACACGCAAATATTGTCACGTCCAGTCCAATTTTATTGGAGATGTTATTATTTTTGTAGGGATAATTAACTTTTGGTCTCTCATGTTTGGCCCGATTTCAGTTTTGGCCCCCATTATTCTAAAGTGAACAAAGTTCACCTCCAAGTTTCAATTTTAAACACTTTTGGTCCCCGCCGTTACATATATCCGTTAGCAAGTAACGGAAAACACTATTTTGGGGTGATAATTGAAATTTTAAAATCTTTTGGTGTTGAAAATAGTTATAAATTTAAAATAGACTACTTATAATTTTTAATAATAAAAAAAGAAACCAACGAAACAAATTATTTTTTAATATACTTAATATTTTTATGATTATACTACTTATAATTATTTTTTTTAATAATAAAACAAATTAACTAAACAAATTATTTTATCACACTTAATATTATTTTTAATTATACTTCTTATGATAAAAAAAAGTAATAAAAAAATTAACTAAACAAATTATTTTTTATTATAATTAATATTATTATAATTGTACTAATTATAATTAATTTTTTTAACAATAAAAAATAAATTAACTAAAAAATTAACTAAATTATACTTAATAGTATTTTTAATTATACTACCTATAATAAAAAAAATTAACTAAATAAGTCATGTATAATTATACTTAATATTATTATAATTATACTACTTATAATTATTTTTTTAATAATAAAAAAGACATTAACTAAATAAATTATTGTGCATTATACTTAATATTAGTTTTCATTATACTACTTATAATTATTTTTTAATAATAAAAAAATAAATGAACTAAATAAATTTCATTATACTTAATATTATTAAAAATTTAATTATAAGTAGTCTAATTTAAATTTCTAATTGTTTTTCAGCCCCAAAAAAATTTAAAGTTTTAATTTTCGCCTCAGAATAGTGTTTTCCGTTACTTTCCAACGGACATGCATGTAACCCCGGAGACCAAAAGTGTTCAAAATTAAAACTTGGATGTGAACTTTGTTCACTTTGAAACAAGAAAATCAAAAGTGAAATCGGGCCAAACATGAGAGGCTAAAAATGTAATTTTCCCTATTTATGTATGAGTGTTTTGGTTGAAACCCCTAAATAAGAAATAAATAAAATTATTTATTATTTATTAGCCATTGAGTAGGCATGGTAGGAGAAGCCGCACCGCCGCCAGCCATAAGAAGTAAAAACTATATATGTGGGCCAACGAACGCTATCTCCACCGCTGAAACGCCTCCACGACGTCATCATCATCTCGACAATTTTTAGGTCCAGCGAAAAGAGAAGACGAAATAATGATTAGGTTTAAGAAATAAGGTTACTATTGTTATTATAATATTATTAAAAATCTAATATATTAATTAATAAGGGACTTTCTCTAATTATTTTTTGGAGGGATGTTTCATTAACTATATTTTCTAAAGGGGTTCTTGCTAAATTTTCCATATATTACTAAGTCTTTGTTCGGTCCACATCATTGTATAGTTTGGGGAAAAATGCAGTTTGGGAAAAAATGCAGTTTGAAATATTATTGAAAATATTTTATAATATATGCATCAATATAATAGCTAGAAGGACAATTTGGGAAGAAAGAATGCCACATCATTCAAAGTCAAAGTTATACCTTTAAATTCATTAATGAGGGGGTAAGTGTTACATTTGTAACTTTAAGGGGGTAAGTGTTTACCACCCCTATAGTTTAAGGGTGCAAACTGTATTTAGCCCTTATTATTATTATTATTATTATTATTATTATTATTATTATTATTATTATTATTATTATTATTATTATTATTATTATTATTAATATTATTGTTATTATTATTATTATTATTATTATTATTATTATTATTATTATTATTATTATTATTATTATTATTATTATTATTATTATTATTATTATTATTATTATTATTATTATTATTATTATTATTATTATTATTATTATTATTATTATTACTATGAAAAATATCCAATATTAACAAATCTATGTATAATAAATTTAAATAATCTAAGGAAAAGCCAATCAACTCGTGATATTTAAAAATTAATTTCCAACGAATTTGAAGCTTGAATTGAATCTTAAATCGTAAGATTTAATTAAATCGTAAAGATT